TATCTTTTTTTAAACAAATAAAATGGTAAGAAAACAAAAGATGATAAATGCACCAAATATTTATTTATAAAACTGGCCTGACTATTCCTTCCTTTGTAGTATTTCTATTCATACAATGTATTCATAACCATATGTATTTTTTCAATAATTTCTCCTTTCATTATTTTTACAGTGTTTTTGCTTATTAGTCCAATACACTGATTTGTTTATTTAGTTAGGACTTTTTGAGTGATTTATTGCAAAAACAAATGAAACCAAGCTAAACATACGATTGAGAGAGTGTCTATGAGCTTTTTAGGGTTTCTTGTCTTCCTTGCACTTTTTTGATGATCTTTGTTAATGTTTTGTGCTGAATAAAAAAAAAAAAAACATTCCTCTACAGTTCTCTACCTCACCTGTTTGGGTTTGGTTGCTTGGTCTTAATGATGCTGCTCTCAGGTCCCAACAGGAAACCTATATTTAAACTGAGATTAACTGACAGACTGTTCAGTAAATAGGAGACTTAAATTCTATTAGAGTAAAGAGGTGTGAATACATCCTACTGATTAATACGGTTAGATTTAAAGTAAAGTAGAGGTTTTGTTCTACTGGATAGGGCTTAGGTATACCAGCAGTCGTGTTGCTGCTCTTTCCTTGTTCCTTCCTGTAACTTTATACTCCCATCACTCTGGCTGGCTGCCATCAGAGCTCTCTCCTTCACACACAAATCTGTCGTTCTCTTCGTGGTCTCACTCTCCCTGATGCTCTTTCCCTCCATGCATAACCTCATCTGTCTCTCTCCCATCGCTGAGTTTGTCTCAGCCAGAGCATGAATTAATGGATGAAGGAGCACAAATAGAGTCAAGGCTCTTCTGGTTTATTCAGAATCAATACCTGCCCGGCTATTCCTGCAGACTTCATCTGTTGGTGAGAAAAAAAAATCATAAATGGAAGGAAGATGTCTTTAACTTGAACATGAGCTTTTTGTTGCTGTCTACCAAAGTGTGACAATTCAGTGCATCAGTAAGTTATTAAATGTGGAAATATCTGTAGATTCATACATTACATATACGGATGCATTTATTTATAACCATTCTAATAATGAAACGGAGATATGAAAATCATTTATTGAATTATTTTATGTTGCATCTAATTATTTAAATTTATTTTGTCAGCCAGCTCTATATATAAAGGTAGTAGATGTTGCGGCGGTAGATGTGGTTAATGTTCCTAGATGTGATCGTTCTGGGCTGAGTTGGTGTGCAGGTAACCAATTCAGAACTCAATCAAAATAAACCTTAATCTATTTCTTGATGGATTTAAAATGTATGAATGGAGTTGGAATGATCATGGTCTCTGTATGTTTTTCTGCACAAGGGGCCAGTCAACTTACAATCATAGAATCAAGCATTAATTATACAGGTTAAGAGCAGATGATTGAGAAAAATGTGATAAAAGAATAGCGCCGAAGAAGAATCGGACTCATAATAATAATGTAGAACAAATTAAACTCTGTAAATGTAAGAAGGACTAGCTATGCTGAGTTTAGTCAGAGCCCAGTTGTTGATATCATGGAGATCATGTGGAGTTGGAACATCTTCAATTATAAACAAATCAGAGACAGGTAATTTTACAATGGGGTGGAGGTTTTTTGAGGACCCAAATGCAGAGATCAGGAAGCTGAGGTGAATATTGTAGAATTAATTAGTAATTGAGGCAAAATCCAAAAATCCAAAATAAAAAGAAACAAATTACCAGAAAACATCAAGGGAAACTCATGTAGGGAGCCAGAGATAAGGACGCAACAAACCAAGGGACTAGCACTAAGTGACAGCAGAGGTGGAGTGTATGAGGGAAACAGAATAAAGGATGGGCTACTGAGCAGAATATGGAGCAGGTGTGAGTGGAACTAACTAGAAGGAAGCCACGGGGGAAGGAAATAAGCACAAGGGGCAACAGAGTAACTAAAGACTGCTTGAATATAATCAGAGATGGGAAGTAATGAAGTACAAATACTTCGTTACTGTACTCAAGTAGATTTTTCTGATATTTTTACTTTACTTTACTACTTATTTTTATGGCGACTTTTTACTTCTACTCCTTACATTTTTACACAAATATCTGTACTTTCTACTCTTACTTACATTTTAAAAAATTGGCTCGTTACTTTAGTTTTGAATCATTTCAATGGAGTTACCGTTATTATTTTTCACGTCATCAATACCAAATTCAATCTAATTGGATAGGAATCTACGCTGCATTTGACGCACCACTACAAGATGAATCGACAGATTCGGCGGTATTCATTCGCTGCAAATCATTGCAGCTTGGTGGCGGTGGCGTTAGCATAGTAGCATGGATGACGAGATGATTGAAAATGAACACAACGGAGATCTAGTCCTATTGGCAGACATCCATTTAAAATGTAGGCAACGGCATGAAAAAAGTGGTTTCTACTTTTACTTTTATACTTTAAGTAAATTTACAAGCCTGTACTTTGTTACTTTTACTTGAGTAAAGAAGTTTAATCAGTACTTCCACTTTTACCAGAGTATTTTTTACCCCAGTATCTGTACTTTTCCTCAAGTACGGAAAGTGAGTACTTTTGCCATCTCTGAATATAATGGAAAATGAACCAAAGATCAACAAAACAGAATAACAGATATCTGAAAACGTCCCAAATGGGGAGAACCATAACAGGTAGATGCTTCCAGGTGCACTTGTGATGGTCAGAAAAGCTATTTTTCTTTCAAAAAAGTGAATTTTTAAATATTTTGTTTATCGAATGAAGCAAGGTTTATGTTTGTGTTAATGTGTAATTGATTGACTCTCACGAGATTACGTATTTATATGCAAGTCTTTTTTTTTTCCAGGAGAACTGTATCATGATTCCCTTTTTTTATTTATGAATTTATTGGTATAGATCTACAGTGAATATTTACAAAGAGACAAAAGAAGCAATAAGCCAAAGAGTGAGTCAAACCTATTCATGTTTAAAAGAGGGAAGAATACACATTTTCTTTGTGCCAGCTGCTCACAAGTTCCTATTTTTCTTACATCACCAGCTTTAACATGGATGTTGTCTTCCTCTGCCTCCATACGGCAGCTCCAATCTGCTCCTGCTGGCAGCAAACTGCCGTCCACCAGGCACGACTGAGTGACGTTAATTTTACTGCACAGCTCTGTTGTCTGCTGCAACATTGGCGTGAAAAGCCAATCTGCATGAAGCTTAACGGTTTACAATGGCAGCTGAGAAGGATTCAGCTTGGATAGGCTCAGTGGAGAATTAAATACACTAATACTGGTCAGAAATGTATATATGCTTACCCAGAAAGTTTTTAAAAATATACCTAAAAGCTCAAAAGCAGATCTCATCATAAACCTCTGTGGAAACTTGACAATTTATTCCCAATCAGAACATGAAGACTTAATTAAAGCTCAATTAAAGTGGTTGGCAAACATTTCTTTTAAGGTAGGGGGGCATTACCAAAAGCTTAATGTCAGCCTGCTTTTAGATTTTAGATGCTTATAAGTTTTTTTATTGTATCTTCTTTTTAGTTTAATCCTCCAGTATCAACATGTTTCTGACTTTCAGCCTAGAATGTTCCACTTTACACTGAGCAGGCTGCTGCAAATTAATTTAATTAATTCTAAACCTGCTCAAAAATTGCAAAAGAATAAAACTATCAAAAAAATACTGCAGCGTGGTTAAAACCCCAATGATAAATAAACTATGATCACTTTATAGATAATCTAAGGTTGGTTGATTTACCTTTGGTGAACTTTACTTCAGTGTTTCTATCTATCAGAAATTAGCCACACAAACTCAAATCTTAACAGTACTGTTGCCCACATTTCTTAGATTTGAAGAACATAGAAGCAACTTCACCCAGGTGCTGACTAACAGTGAGATGTTATGGGTTTTAGATGTTAGAGTTTTTGTTTAGTTGAAGCTCTCATCGAAATCTTAAGTCAGTGTTGTCAATGTTCTGATTCTGACCATTTTCGTCTTTATATCTTTCTTTCAATAAATGCTGAGCTTCACTTTTATGCTTCTATTAAGTTGTGTATCTCCAATACAAGGCGGCTCTGGTGCATTTTAACCTATTTGTTTCCTCAAGAATTACAGTTATTGCAGCTAAATGGATCGGAGAAGTTAAAGATGTAACTTATCCTGTTATTTTTGTTTTCCCTCCAATGACAAGTAGTGATTCTAACCTGAGGTTGGATTAGGTCTCGGCTCTGAGAAGACACAAATCTTTTAAATTGTCAGAGAGCAGACAGGCTTAGAGAACAATCACTGAGTGTGCACTTGTTGTTGCTCTATGTTCTCCTTAAGTAAGGTGCTGTTGCAGACAGTCCAGATCCAGCCCACATAAATCCATGCTGCTTGCATGAAATAGTGTTGAACATCATTATATCCTGTTATTTTCACTTAATAAAATCAATGTAGGTTATACTGGGAATTCAGTTCCAGCGCACCTTTTTTCCACCATTTCCCAAACAGAATAGCTCTACTTAAGCACCCGACACGACAAAAATTGCTTTTATTGTTGCTTAAAGTAGCATGTTAGGAATCTGTGCCTGTTGTTTGGGGAAATCTTTCTTATTTTGCTTTTTTTGATCAGGGAAAGCAGATATACCTACTAATCCTCTACTACATTTTCAGATCTCTGCCATATTTTTGCTTAAAAATTGTTTCTCAAACAGGTTTAAAATTCTGATACAACCTCTTTTGGCGTACAATGAATTTGTGTTCACCCCTAATATCACATAACTCTATGGAAACGACTGTTGATGAAATCCAACTGGCACTGGGATAAATAGCTATTTTAAAGTAAAAATAATATTTTAAATATTTTCTAATGTCTATTTTGATTAAGTTGTATTTGTTTCTTTGTCTCTTTCATCATCTGTGCATTAATGGTTTCTCTTCTTTCATTCACAGGTATGGTGAATTGGGAACTGTTGGAGGCATCCCCTGTTTGTTCTAAGCTTATGTGTCTCTGCTCTCCATGCAGACGATCTGGGAGGCAGAAGAGAGACTGTCTAAAAATAAACTGACAACCAGCAGCAGCAGAAAAACCTCAATACATATCAACAGGGGAAAAAGACCTCTCTTTCACCCTGTTTGAATCTTTCTCTGCTCCGTTTCTGTGTCCTCATTAAGTGAGGAGAGGAGGTCATGTCCCAGTCTGGAAAAGTTCTTCATCTGTTTGTGGAAGTGAGGTCTGCCCCAGATCAGAAAGGAGTGAAGGAAGGAGGGATTACTCACAATATTCCAGCTGAAGACGGTCCTGCAGAACACCTCACCCAGGAAGGGAGCCAGACTGCACCAGGAGGGACTCCCTCAGGTCCACAACGAGTTCAGGACCAGAATCACAGATCATCTCAAAACGCTGTTAACTTTCAGCTCCAAACAGCCAGCAGCTCACCTGCAGTTACCAAACGTTGGAGCTCACCTCTCTACTCATCCCCGTACTCCAGAAGTATCGGCGTCCCCTACACTCCTCCCGATGGCCAGCGATCTGTGGTCAGCTTCAGTTATGTTGAAAAGTCCAACGTAAAGACAGTGGAGAGTTCAGGTAATTCCATGTGCGAGAGACAAGCGAGCGATGAGCAATCCACCCCATCCCAATTTCAAAAGCGCCTCAGTGACCAATTATGGTTTGAAAGCCCCGGTTCCTCGTGCAGCTCGAGCCCAAAACAGAGTTTCCGATCCCCAAATAGTCACCAGCAGACATTTTCCCATGGTCTTCGACAGCTGCGCTTGGATCCCATTGGAAGAGCAGCAACGCAGAGAGCCGTGGAAGAGTTTGGTTCTCCCTTACTGAGGATTAAACTAGCCCACGCACTCGAGCAAGCTTCTTCCTCACACTACAACCAGCAGCAGCGCTGCCATTCCTGGGCCGGGTCTCCTGTCCAGCATCAGAAGATCAGCGCGAATCCCAGAGATGTCACAGATACCAGCGAGAGGATTCATGGATTGCAGAACCTCCCTGGATCAGACCATCCCTCCTCCATTTCTAGAAAGTCCTTAGAGTCAAGGTTTTCTGCCGACCTTCGTTGCCCTCTTCAGAGTTCAGGAGAGCATGGGACTGTGGCACAAAGTCCAGCTATCAAAAGACACAAAGAAACTCCTCTGCAGGGATTAAACCTCCAACCAGGCAATAAGGGAGATGAAGGTTTGAACCAGTTAAGTGGCAGCAAATCTTCATCTCCAGCTCATAGTCCTGAGGTTGCCCGTAGGCTAGCAGAGGAGGCTTCCAAGGTATCTTCAATGTTCACAGAGGCCAGGAGGTCTTCTTTGCACAACCCATCAGGCATGAGCAGCTCACACCTTGGAGAGTCTTCTCCAAATGCACAGCACTTTAAGCAAATGCTGAAGATGAACATCCCTTTAAATGATCAACACATGCCAGCAACTGAAAACATAGTGTCTCACCAGCCGGAAAGCTCCAACACGCATCATGGCACACATCAGGAGGACCGGATTCAGAAGACCCAGCCTCAGAGCTCAGTTTTATCCGCACATCAGAACTCCCCCGCCCTCCCCTCAAGGGTCCTCCGTCCTTCTCATCCTCCTACTGAGATCGGCTCTCCCATCAGAGACCCTCGGCTTTCTCAAGCTGAACTCCGTGCACCAGACAGCCCCACCCTGCATCGCTGCCAGCCTCCTCAGTACACCGGAGACTCCTGGTCCCCAAGTCTGGACAAAAGAGGAGACCTGACATGTTTCGAGAAAGGAGACTGCATAGAGCTTTCACGTAGGCTCTTCATTAATCAAAGCGTTGAAGAGGGACCGGTCAGCTGGACATCCAGACAGCAGTCCAGGAACCAGTTAGAGAACTGCTCCAAGTCTGGGTTTGAGTCCAGCAGTCAACAGCAAACCAGTCGACCGAGGCGGGCTCTCAGCCCCACGGCCCAGCAGAAACGAGCAGAGCAGAGGAGGAGAGAGATTCTTCTGTTAGGACCTGTGGTGCTGGATTCTGAAGACGAAGATGGGAGCTGCGATGAAGAAGTGCGTGGTGAAGAGGAGCAAGGACACGAACAAAGGAGGGCAGGAGAATCTCCAGAGGTGGAGCAGAATGGAGCAATGACTGGTTCTTCCTCTCGAAGCTCCAGCGGTGTGACGGGGAGCTTTGGGGACAGAGAATGTTTGTCTCCAGAATCCAGTCAATCCAGTCACCAGAGCAATGAGACTGGAGCCGCAACTTCAGGGATTCAGGTGAGCACTGGACTTAGAGGTAACGGTCCATTTCCTAAACATTAATGGGCTGAGAGAAATCTGTTTTTACTCCAGAATATTTTTTTCTCCCAAACATTTGTGAGAATGAGAGACTCTTTGTAGAGTTTAAATCAGACGTTTCATACAGAGCTCACCTTTTGCAAGAAATTGCGAACCCACTAGTCTAGATACATTGAAATAGCAATAAAAGGTTAATTATTAAAATGAGTAATCAAAGAATGAACCTTCACGCATTCTGTGAAATATTTAAAGCATTTTTTTCTGTTTATTTTGTGATAGAGTTCTAGCCCGTAGCTGAATTTCTGAATAAAACAGCTGTAATTCCACTTACCCAGCAGACTGTCTGTGATTCCCCCTAAAAAGAGAATTGCTACAAAAGGTCGATGATAAAGAGGCTGGCTGTTTAGTAACTGGTACACCTAGACATAATAATGGAAAATTGAGTGGAGGCTTTCATTAGGCTGACATTTCTGTATTACAGTCCCTTCCTTTATTGATTTAATGTAATATTTTGATATGCTGAAAACAGAATTTTAGTTTTTCATTAGCTATAAGCCATAATTTTCAAATAGGCTCTGGGACCGCAAGTGGCTCTTTGGACCCTCTATATAACAGTGTCTTGAAAAGGAACCAGCTACAGGCGTATAATACCAAATACCAGTATTAAGATGCTTTAATTGGCTTTTTTATTAAAGTATGTCTGATTAAAGAATATCTAATTTACTTTTTTTGAAAAAAAAAAAAATACGTTACAGTTGCCAGAAATACGTTTTTAAGATCCATTTTCTTAGTCATTATCTTGGAAATACAGTAATGTTATTTTTATGTTTTACGTCAAATGATAACCTCAAGAAGAAAATCCCTGCTTCATATTTCAATTCATGATTTACCTTATCCTAAAATATAAATAAACTTTTGTTTAAAATTGCAAAAGATGTTCTATAGTAGATATTTAACCAAAAATAAATAAATAGCATTTTATTAAAATGCTTTATAATATTTGTGGCTCTAAATTACTATTACTTAGCTGAACTCAGGGCAAAATAGCTCCTTGGATTTTGAAGGTTGCAGACCCCTGAGCTAGAAAGATGGTGATATTTGGCGTGATGGTCAGGAACCTTTCTTGTATCTAGTTAAGAGATGTAGTTAGGGGATGGTTAAAGCTTTGGCCAGAAGGGATCATCAACAGAACATTTTTTCCAAAAACAGCAAAAAAAATAATAAAATAAAATAAGAAATAAATGCCTCAGGCATAGACAAAAATGTAAAGACACAAAATAAAACATGAGGTTTGTATGTTTTTTTTTGTTTTACCATAACTGATAATCATAAAAAGCTTCTTTTTCCTGATGAAGGTCTGGCTTTGGTGTTATATGGACTAAATAAGCTTTCACTTTCAGCAATATTGAAATTATCTTTATGTTTAATGAGTAACTTCTAAAATTTTTGACAGTAGATATGTTGTGAAAGAGAATGCAGGCACAGACAAGAGCTTTGGAGGAGAATAATGAAACTTAAATACATAAAAAAAAAAAAACAAAGACGTTACTGAAGGCACAGGGAAATAGAAAGCAATACACAAGGAAAAGGAATAATGTTTAAACTAGATGATAACTGAACAATTTAACAGGGCTTAAAATCTGAGTCAGTGTTGGAGAGATGAGAAGCTGGTGGAGAGAGAAAGGAAGAGGAGCTGAGAGAGGGAGACTAATCAAAAGAGGGGGCTGAACTTAGAAATAATAAATTACGGGGGGGAAAAATCTAGTGGGAATCATTTTAAATAATAACTTTTCATCAAGACAGTTCTCTAAAAAGAATAAAATAAAATAAAAAATACTTTCACCTAATGTCTAGAGTGATGCAGAATAAAAGTCCAAAATATTGAGATATTTAATTCTGGTTAAAATGCAAATGTCGACATTTTTTTCGTTATTACTTATGACATCAGGACTACATTTCTTAGACTTAAGTTAAAAAAAGAAATAAAAAGATGCAAAGTGAGAATAAACACTGGTCGGGCTTTTACACATTGTTGTTGGAAGCAAAGGGAGGCAGAGTTTATTGCTTTCCTTCATGACCGGTATGATAAATGTTTGACAATCCTAACATTGGAGGACTTGGCAACCGGCTGGTAAACTAGGTGGCGAATGGAACCAGAGCAGGTGAGTGCGGCTTTCAGCTTGTAGCCTTTTACTGACCCTCAAGGGAATAAACATCAACCTTTGGAAAAAGCATCTAGGTTTGGAAAATGAAAACAAAGATGCAAAAACAATTCCAAAACTCAAACACCAGAGGAAGATGAAACTCAGTGAGCTGATTAGTGTATATTTGTTTTATTTTTTTAACAGTGCTAACTGCTTTCTCCTTTGACTTCCATGTGACAAACATCAAAACTAAATCAATTTTCTAAGTTTATTCCTTTTCTCTTACAGGGAAGAGCAGAATGTGAACAAACTTTTTAAAACACCCTGCAGAATAACCTGTAGTTTGTCTCTGTGTTATTGTTTGTGTTATTTTGTGGTTGCAGACGGACAGTGGGAGTGCAGGTCCAGTTCCTTCATTGCACTGTCAGAAGATTGCTCGAGCTAAATGGGAGTTCCTGTTTGGGACGTCTACAGATGACCCTGCTGGCAAAAGAGATAAAAGTAAAGCACACATTTAAAACAGGGAAATAAATGAGAAGATTTGCCTCAATTTTGTTGTTTTAGCTTTGTGTGTCAAATTAAATGCATTATCGTTTTATGTAAAGATAACTTACGAAACTTTTGCAGTTTGTCCAGTATTTTGTCTCATTGTTTGCCTCATTTGCATCTAAACATTTTAAAGATGGGTGTTTAAATGTCTCACCCTTTCTCAAATGCTTAAATGCATGTTTTCTTCATGACATTGTTAATCTAAAATGTTGTATTTTGTCATGAAGATACACTAAGGTCATTATAAAAAATAGAAAGTACACTTTCTCTGTTCCAAGGTTTCATGTATCAGCACATAATAAAAGTAACTATGATGATGCCCTTCTTTTCAATTCTAAGTGTGAAATATATTATTTTTTTGAATTGTTATTTTTCAGATAAATCATTAAGTATAGAAAGTAAAAAAAAGGTACAGCCTATTAACTGATCATCAACAGTGTTTTCTCCCCTTTAGAGGGATGAGTTTTTACATTTACTGGTCATGATCATGCTGGTGTTTACATAATGGTAAAGGCTTAAAGATTTTAACAAGCACCTTAGTGGAAGATATGTTACCCTCTGTCAATTTGCAAAGGGTTTAATTAGCTGCCTCCAAACTATATGAAGTGTGATTCTAAATCGAGAAATATTATTTACAGAAATACACATTTAGCAAAGAGAACATTTATGGAAAACTTAGACTGGTAAATCCTAAAATACATTCTAAAAAAACTGAAGACTTTTATTCAGAGTGTTCAATGTTGAAGTTAATAAGTAGAGGGAATTTGAAAGCTATTATAGGCAGTTTAAATTGTAACTAACCCAATGTAAAAGCATAATGAGGCCATCAGGCACATTAAAACAAATCTAAAGTGGGCATGAGCAATAATGTTCCCCTTGTCCTGATGTGATCAAATGATGTAAGTTCCTAAATCCCACATCCTAATTCGACTAAAAAAAAAAAAAAAAAAAGCTCTTTGACATATTTCTTTAATCAATGCACATTTTGGTTACAATTACAATTGGTGAACAACTAAAAAAAACGAACCTTCACAAGCTGGAAAATGGAGGGCTTTCAGCTCAAAGACAGCATCTCTCCCAACTTTCCAGTTCCAGGTTCTGAGGTAAATTGAAGGCATCATTGTACCCAGATTTCAGGCATTAAAGTCAACACATACCAAACTACATAGACTTGTACCGTTTTAACCAATGGGAAAATTCAACTATACAGTTCAACCTATAGAGGGCAGCACTAGGACGTGTTTTACACCAAATCTGGCGGAAATAAACAGTCTTATCTCAAAATATCACAATTTGCATGTTAAAGGGGAACACCTGTTTTTTTTTTACATTGGGCCCTTGATTTTACGTGATTACATCATGTTCTAATCACCCATATGAGTTTTGTGTCATTTGGAGCTGTTCTGAAGATATTCCGTTAGGTTATATCCAATAACATCTTCTTATGGGCAACGACTTGAAGGCACAAACTAAACTGTTCATAATTTATCATTTATGGTACGCCAGCATTCATAACATGTAGGCGAGTCACTGTCCCCCAGACATCAGTGGTTATATTTTTTATATTTATATCTTTTAAAAACAAAGTGTAGTGTGTATGACGTCATCTGAGCGCCAGACTGGAGTTACGACAGGCAGCCCGGGCCATAGGTGGCTACGCTCTACCCCTTCTATTCATTCGGCTAGCTAATCTGAATCATTCAATTCCATTTAGAGGGCGAGATCATCTGTGGTAGTAGCACTAGACATCTTCCAGGTATGTGAGTAAAACTAGCAGCAGTTCAGCGGACAGGATGAATGAATGGTAACCGGCGCGCGCAGATGACGTCATACACACTCCGCTTTGTTTTAAAAAAATATAAATATAAAAAATATAACCGTGGTTGTCTGGGGGACAATGATTCACCTACATGTTATGAATGCTGGCGTACCATAAAGAATACCTTATGAATAGTTTAGTTTGTGCCTTCAAGTCGTTTCCCATAGGAAGGCGTTACTTGGATATAATCTAACGGAATATCTTCAGAACAGCTCCAAATGACACAAAACTCATATGGGTGAGTAAAACATGATGTAATCATGTGAAATCAAGGGCCAAATGTAAAAAAACCAGCGTTCCGCTTTAACATAAACAAATAATACCCACAAGCCTCTATGTATAGTTTATGTACAAAAAAGTCCCCCTTAAATTATAACCCGGTAAAGACATTAAGTTTTGATACATGAAGCCCTCAAACTGACACTGCTTTCCTTTACCCACGACTTTACCTATAACCTGTAAATCTGAGCTACATATCCCCATATTTATTATGTCACTAAATTATGTTTCTTGCTAGATTTCTTAGAAGCCCTCACGGCTCCTCCCAGTGGTAATTCCAGTGAGTCTCCCACCCCGACTCCTCCATCCTCCCTGCCTTTGCTGTCAGCCAATCACGACGTTCAGCACGTGGAGGTAGAGCTGGTGACTCCTCCCCCAGCAATCATTGGGACGTCCCCCAAAACAGGCATCATCCGCCGGACTCTGAAGTATTCTGAAACTGACCTAGATGCCATCCCGCTCCGGTGCTACCGCGAGACGGACATCGATGAGGTGTTGCTGGCTGAGCAGGACGACGGCGACTCCGCCTTTGGTAGCAACCGCAGTGTGCAAGGGACATCTGGCACAGGGAGCAGTCCTCTGAGGGGGCTGGCTTATGGGAGGACAGGTGTGGAGGAGGAAGAGGAAGGAGAAGGGGAAAGCAATGATGAAGATGATGATGATGAGGAGGAGGAAGTGGTGAGCTGGGCGAGTGTGAGGATGCAAGGGGACAGCAGAAAGCAACGGTATGCTGCTGAAGAGGATCCAGAGGTGTTTGGACACCTTCTGATAAGGTGAACAGGCTGTCTTAACCCTAAAATCAAACACTGGCCAGCCACTTTATTAGGTACACCATCCTGTGATGTGGACCTCCTTCTGGTCCAAACTGCCTTATTCCTTTATAACTTACATTCAGTTATGTGCTGGGAATGTTGCTCAGATATTTTGCTCCATCTCGAAACTATGATATCACACAGTTGGTGTCTGTTTTATAACAGCTCATCTGTGATGCTAATCTGATCCCAAAGCTGCTTTATGGGAATTAGATCTGGTGACTCTAGAGACCATCAGAGTCCAGTAAACTAATTGTCATGATCAACAAAATAGTTTGAGTTTAACTCTCCGTTTGTCTGTCTGTCTGTCCAGGGATACACCCTTCACAGGTTGCCAGTCTATTGCAGGGCAACACAGTGACATACAAAGACACACAACCATGCACACATGCTCATGGACTGTGGGAGGAAGCCAGAATACCCAAAGAGAACCCAGAAATCGAACCCAACACCATCTTGCTGCAATGCAACAGTGCTACCCACTGCTTCAACGTTCAGGGCAGTTAGAGTTTATTACAATTCAATTCAGTTTAATGACATAGTGCAAATTCACAATACATCTAATCTCAAGGCACTTTACAGAGACAATTCAATCAGATCGTACAGTTAGGTTGGTTGAAAGTTTTCCATCTAAGGAAAACCAACTGATTTCACTGAGCCATTGACTTGATAGCAATTCCTCACACCTAGCATGTATGCAGGGACAGTGGAGAGGAAAAGTTCATTTTAACAGGAAGAAACGTCCTGCAGAACCAAGCTCATTGTGACCGGCCATCTCCTGAGACCGACTGAGGGTTCAAGGAAGTAGAAGCAGTGTTACGTCCACCAAGGGCACAACATATTTGAGGACATGAGACAAAAAGATGAGGGTTCAACAAGATTTTTTATTATATATTAATTATATATAATAATTATATAGGTAATTATATATTATAAATTCTCTCCTCTTTAGTTTTCTTGGCTCAGCTTCTTCTGATTTTTCTGCGAAGAAAATAAAGTTAGAGGCCCTCAGATCCCGTGCCCCA